ATGGCTCTTGGCTCCATTGTTGAGCATCACCTTGCAAAGAAAGGAATACAGAGAGGCCTCGACTTACAACAGTTCATTTAGTGACTGTTCAAAGTTAGAATGGCACTGAAAAATGTGATTTATGACCATTTTTCAGACTTGCAACCTTTGCAGTATCCCCCATGGTCACGTGATCAACATTCAGATGCTTGGCAACTGACTCATATTTATGACGGTTGCCGTGTCCCGGAATCACGTGATAACCTTATGTGACTGGACAAGCAAAGTCAGAGGGGGAGCCAGAGCCACTTAACAACTGGGTTACTAACTTATCAGCTGCAGTGATTTACTTAACAACGCTGGCAAGAAAGGTTGTAAAAGGGAGCAACTTAACAAACGTCTCAGTTAACAACAGAAATGTTGGGCTCAACTGTGGCGGAAGTCGAGGCCTGCCTGAAGCCACTTAGAGCTCAGCTGGCTCCGGCAAGCGGCCTGCCAGGGCCGGCGGGAAGTCCGGTTTCCGGAACAGGCTGAACCGGGGAGGCTTCTTGGGGGGAAAGGGGCGCCGGAGGCCCCTGGGGAATGTTCCCCCCTCCTTTCACCGGCCGCTCTCCTCAGTCCGTCAGCCGCGCCGCTGGAAAACTCCCACAGAGCCGAAAGCGGACTCCGAGCAGCCGCGGCCACGACCAGCGGACCTCCAGATGCCCCCTCCCCTCCCTCCCCCGGCGACCGAGCGCCGCGGCCTCGCCCAGCGCGGCAAGGAAGGCGGGGGCGGAACCGGGCAGCGCTGGGAAGGCGGAGGGCGGCCGGAGGGGGCCCGGGCCGGCCTGGCGAGACGCGCTCTCCCGCTCACCCAGGTTGAGCAGCTTGAGGGCGGCCAGGAGGGCGTCCTGCGCGGCCAGGTCGCGGCGGGGCCCGCGGGAGCAGTGGTACTTGACGAAGGGGAAGCAGCCCGTGCGCAGCACGTGGTAGTTGGCGCCGCGCACCGCCCAGTTGAAGCTGGAGAGGCCGAACTGGTCGTTGCGCACCGCGCTGTACTTGACGCAGAAGGAGGTCCAGGGCGGCAGCCGGCGCTGCAGCAGGTGGCCGGTCAGCACCTCCGAGGCGGCCGGACGCGGAGGCGGCGCCGCCCCCCACGGCCACAGCAGCCCCCGGAGCAGCGCCGCGTGCAGCCGGCCTAGCGCCCGCCCCGNCCCGGAGCGCTCCCCGCGCTGGACCTGTGGCGGGCGCGCGCGAAGAGCGGAGCGCGAGCCGTCCCCCTCCCCCCCGCTCGATAATTGCGCGCCGCCTTCCCAACCTCCTCCGGTCTGCGGCCCGCGAGGCGGAGGGGCGCCCCTCGCAGTTTCTGGGCTCGGCTTCCCTTTTGAGAAAGGCTGGAGCGGCCCGGGGAGCCCCGGGGGTGGGGCTCAGGGCGGCGGGGGCGTCTGCCGGGCCCGGACCTTGCCCGGGATGGGCGGTGGTGGGACGGGCGCAGGGAGGGGACTCGGTTGAGGAGCCGTGCTGAACTTCCCCCAGAAGGACTAAGCCGGGGCCGCGTTAGGATGGGATGGGGCAACTCGCCATGAGACGATTCCAGAGTTTAATTATTTGAAATAATTAAAGTATTTTAGTTTTTGTCATTCGTATTTCACTTTATCCCTCCTTTCTTTCATGATTCCATTCCGCCCTTTCTTTGATATTAGTGCGACTCTTGTCTTGTGTGGAGGTGGCGGCGGTGATTGTCCCAGACCCGCATTAGGCGGAGGGAGGCCTGAGAGACCTGCAGCCCCTCCTGGAGGATTCTGGGCACCACCACAAACCCAGAAGGACACTGCTAGGCTGGAGAAGCTTCAGAGGAGGAGGACAAAGAGGAGGCAGGACCTTGAGGACGTTCAATAACTTTAGATGTTCACTCTGGAGAACATCTCTGGCCACATCCAGACTCAGAAGGGGATCAAGAATGATTGAGGAATAGAATCAAGTTCATGTGGAGCATTAGTACTGCTTTACAAAGCCTTAGCATGATCACACTTGGAATACTGCTTCCAATTTTGGTCACCAAATATAAAAAAGATATTGAGACACTGGAAAGAGTACAGAGAAGAGCAACAAGAATGATGAGGGTGCTGGAGGCTAAAACATATAAGGAACGGTTGCAGGAATTGGGTATGTCTAGTCTAATGAAAAGAAGGACTAGGAGACATGATAGCAGTATTCCAATATTTGAAAGGCTTCTACAAAAACGAGGGGGTCAAACTATTTTCCAAAGCACCAAAAGGCAAAAACAATGGATGGAAACTAACCAAGGAGAGAAGCAACCTAGAACTAAGGAGAAAATTCCTAATGGTGGGAACAATCAACCAGTGGAACAGCTTGCCTTCATAAGTTATGTGTGCTCCTTCACTGGAACCTTTCAAAAAGAGACTGGACAGTAACTTGTCAGAAATGGTATAGGGTCTCCTGTTTGAGCAGGTGGTTGGACTAGAAGACCTCCAAGGTCCCTTCCAACTCTATTCTATGTTTTATAATTCTTGTGGTCCCTTCCAACTTCATGATTCTGTGGGGGAGAACTAGGTATGTTTTTAATGCTTATCCTTTTTCTCTGACACTCTGGATTTGTGGCAAAGATAACATGACACCCTCTGAATGTTTGGTCCCCAACTTCCCATCAAGAAAGGAGAATATTTGTAGCTGTTGAAATGAGGGGTCCTTGGTGCTCTCTGACTTTGGTTGTTTTCTTACAGATGTTTCACTACCCACACGAGATAACATCACCAGTGCTAGTTCCAGCACTGGTACAGAGGCAGGCAATCCTGGCTTTCTGAACAGACCTATATAGTCAAGAGAAAGCAGTTAAGTCAGTTAACAGCTTATTTCATACATGACTACAGGAAGTCCTCGACTTACAACCATTCATTTAGTGATTGTTCAAACTGACGAGTGCTGGAAAAGGTGACACATGACTGGCGTTCACACCTACGATCGTTGCAGCATCCCCACATTCGTGTGATTAAAGATCAGTACTTGGCAACTGGCATGTATTTATACACCAAAATCTACCTATTTCTCCCTTCTTTGATACTGCCCAGATCCATGTGGACTTGACTCCATCTTACAGGTCAGCAATTGGTTTAAGGCCGTGTTTTTCAAACTTGGCAAATTCAAGATATGTGGAATTCTACTCCCAGAATTCCCCAGTTGGCCAAAACTGAAAAATACTGATTGGAGAAGAAACAAGGCAAAATGGGAAAGACCCCCCTTTTTTAAAAACAACAACAACTGTAATTAAGAATAAGCAGTAATTTCAGCAGGTTTGCTGATAATGCCCAAATATTTAGAATGGGAATCTCAAAAATAGTCTCTGTTGTATTGACATAACACTTTTAGCTTGATTACCGAATTAAACTGTTGCCTGAGTTTGCACAATTCCTAAGATCATAAATACTAAAGCACTTGGGCTCATAAACACACAAGACCTTTAAACAAAACTATCCAAGTTTAGTATATTGTGCAGACACTAATTTAATTAACTTAGTTAAGCATGTCTGAATTTAGCCACTGTGAGGAACAGGTTTCTCCAAACTTAATGCGTTTTAAGTCTTGTTCAGCTTATGCTTATAGATGCAACAGAACATAGCAATAATTACTTCCAAGCAAATATGCTTACATATTTTTGAGAACAACTCCCAAAACATTTGTGAAATATGAAACTATTTGTAATGTAATGTGATATAGAATATAAAGTCCTCTTGTGACAGTTCCTATGATTTTCCTTCACTTCTTATGGGTTATTGGCATAATGACTCCTTGAACCCAATGGATCTTCTGAGTAGACCATATTGTCATCCAATCAAATGCAAGAAACTGTCTCCTTTTCCATGCAACAGTAGAATTTTAGGCATACTCTTTCAAGGAAAAACGAATCAAGGTTAATGTATTCATATCTTAAAAATTAGAAGAGTCTCCTCACTTCCAAGACTGGGAAATCATTTTTCCCCAATATAAATACATTACATTTTATTGGAGGAACAAATGCTCATGTAAATCACACAGAGGACATTTAATCTCATATTAACAGTTTTAAAAATCTGGGTCACTACTGAGACCTACTTAGCTTCATTAAATGTGGTTTCCAAAAATCCAAAATACAATTGCAGATGTACAACTGCCAACGTGGAAGACAACAAAAGATGAAGAATTTGAAGATGCATGGTGAGAATCTCAAGGCACGAAGAATATATTTTAACCTTTAGGAAGACATAAAAATGTAAATCAATATTCAAGTATTTTTTCAAGTATTTTTTCTTCCAAAAGAATTAATAACTTTCAATAATTAGTGTTAACTATGCCCTAAAAGAGGGCAGATGTAGTTTCATATTGAGGTTTCTTTGCAAGATCCAACCTTGGTCGTTCCCCAGGACCAGCGGTTTTCTCTTTCAAGCTTCCGGACTGGTGCTGGAGCCCATCCGCAGGCAGGGACCTTCCCTCTAGCAGAGTGTGTGCTTTGGGTTGTTCTCTGTGTGGTATTTATATGGTGTCTGGTGAAGCCACACCCAATCAGACACCACATAAATACGATGCACGGAACAGCCCAAAGCGCACATTCTGGTGAGAGAGAAGTTCCCTGAGGATGGGCTCCACCTCTGGTCCCAGGGAATTGACCCCGACTGGATCCTGCGACATTATCCTGGGACACGTAGATTCACCTTTATTCATGAGGTTGGTTTATGTATTAATTTATGTATTAATGTATTAATATGCCTGGAATAGAGTTATACCACCCTATATTAAATCTTAGGCATTTAACCAAGAGGCTGTTATGGAGTGACCAATTTCATCCTATTACACATTTTTTTTCTCTTCCAAGGGGCATACCCAACTAAGTATGATTTTTAAAGCTTTAGGCTCAAGCTATCCTAAGGAAAAATGAATGTTTTTTTGGTCCAGACAAATGGTCACCTATTCAAGCAAAGTGCATGAAGTGTGATTTGGGGAAAGAAAAATTCAAAAGACGCTGTGAGTAGAAAAGGAAGGTTTACTCACTACTTTTTGGATGTTTTTGCTTTCAAGGCCTCCTTTTCCTCTTCAAATTTTAACTTGTTCTGTTCTGTAACCCCTAAGATCCTCTCAATATCTTGAATGGCTCCCTAGAAAGAGATGGAAATGCTGCAGATTAGGCCCAGAGATTTCCCCATCCAACCTCCCACTCATGTTTGGGCTTCTGGGCTGACCACAATGGGCATTCACCTAAGGCTATGTTGATGGAAGATGCTAAGCTAAAGCCAAGGAAACTGCACCACATTTCACTCTGTGGATGCACATAGCTGGCTAGAGAATTCTGGGAATTGAAGTCCACAAGTCTTAAAGTTGCCAAGTTTGGAGACCCCTGCTCATGACTTATGGTGTCATCCAAAGCTGAAACTACCATCATCTGAAATTTACAGCCAGGACTCGTAACTAATGGCAAAGTTTGGACAGAAGTCTTGGTTCTTAGAAACCCAAAATGGTGACTTCAACATTTTCCAGAATCTTTGCAAAAATTTAATATGTTGCCTGAATGGGCAAATAGGATCTTCTGATTTTTGGACTTGTTTCCATTTGGGAAGACTGGACTTCAACTTTCAGAATCCTACAGCCTGCCCAAAGAACTAAGTATATGCAAGAATGAGATCAGGCATGCACACAGGGATGTCACCCAGGGGTGGGGTGGTGTCAACAAAGGCCGTTATGGAGGTCACATCCATATATCGTCTTTACCTTTTGACATCCCTTGTGGACACCTGTGTGTGGGTGCCTTCATGGTGCCTTCCCTGGGGTTGAGATGGACCATTGCTTTCCAGTTCATCACTCAGAATTGCTGCTGCCACTGGGTGTATTTCACTGGCAGCTTTTGCACATTTGGAATAGGAACCAAGCAGTAGCACACAAAATACAATTCTTAACATTGACCGTGGGCAGTACAGGTTGGAAATACAGTTGATGGTTGTGGGAACTGGATAGGTCTAGTCTAACAAAGAGAAGGACTAGGGGTGAAATGATAGTCTTTCAATATTAGAGGGGCTGTCATGGAGAAGAGGGGGTTGATCTATTCTCCAAAGCACCTGAAAGCTGGACAAGAAGTAACTGGTGAAAGATTATTAAAGAGAGATTCAAGGAGAAATATCCTGACAGTGAGCAGGGGGTTGGACTAGAAGACCTCCAAGGTCCCTTCCAACCCTATTATTCTATGTTCTATGTTGACTGGAGCTAAGCTACAACTGAGCTGGCCGTTCACAAAGCACCAGCACTCCAGAGATGCCAGAGACGGTAGTGCCCCCAGAGGCACCCTAAGTGGTAAACACCTAAGTCCAGTAGAGTCTTGCTTTGATATCCATAACATTAGGCAGAAAGTATACAAGTGCAAGCCCTGGGCTTACAACTATCACCCTTCAATAGCTTTTGGAACATAAACAGGCCTATTTATTTGCCTCCTCCTAATGGATGTGTTTTAATATTTCAAACATCTCAACCGTTTCATTTGACAAATCAATAGGAGAAGTCTATGGGGACAAGAGCATTTTTTTGCCTCTCCAATTAGTAAATCCAAGAGCGGATGTATGCAAAATGAAAATCTAATTTCCTCAGGAGCTAGCCATTCACGCCAGAGAGGGTTGTGTTGTGTATTTTTTTTAAAAGAAATATACCATTCGCTCTCAGCCCAAGCAAATCCATGCTCCCGCATCAAAATTCTTAAATTTAACTAACAGATTTACTGGGAATCTCACAATATTGACCCCCAAGCTGTGAAATACGTACTGCTACAAGCAGAAGCGAGGATAGTTTAGCACTTGCTTGTACTGTAATACAGCATGGGGTGTTTTCTGTCCTTGAACAGAAATTTAACTGGGATCGTTAGTTAATTAACACCTCACCTTAAAATTGGTCTCGGCATGCATATTAGGTGCTGATAATTCTTGATAGATGATGAAGAGATGCTGAGCAAAGGTCATGAGGACCCCCTGGAGATGTTCCCCAATTGTTCTGTTAATGATATCCAAAGAAACGTCTTTGCCAACGATTCTATTTGCAGGCTTAAAAACAATCGCCCTCTCATTTGGGCCTGTCAGACGGTGGAATTTAATGAATATTTTCAATCTCCTAAGGTGGCAATCTTCAGGGAGATACAAAAGACGAGGCTCCATTTTAACTTGTCAGTAAAAAGGATTTGTGTAATAAATATTTTTTATTAATCAAGTAATGGAGGAGGGCAAATGCTTGAATCATTCGAAACACAAGAGTCCCATCTTTTCTAAAGCATCTCAAACACGTGAATAGGTACCGCTGGGGGTATGAAAACCCCGGGGTTATTAATGGCAAAGCATCCTGTTGGAAACTTGGGTTTGCTCAGATCCACCATAAAAACAGGAGTTCAACCATTTCAGTGAAGCTTGGGCCGTGGCTGCTCTTGAAGAACAGTTACTAGGTAAAAATAATTATGGATATTTTTAATCTGGTTTTTCTGACACAATTCTGTGCCTTAGCCATCAGGGTTTTTGAAGGAACCGTTCTCTCCAGGCTTTAATCTTTCAGAACACTGGCACAGAGCAGGTAAAAGGAGTCTTAAACTACAGGACTATCAAGGTCCAGCAACTCATTTCTCTCTCTTGGAAACTTACATCATTCCAAATGTGTTTCTTTTCTGGTCTTCAAACAAGATAAAAATGGTTCCTTCTTTTAGCTGTTGAGAGGGATAAGATGTTAAACTTCTTACTGTGTCTGGAAATTCTAAACATACAATTTCTCAAGATCAAATGCTAAGGCGCATTACATGGGATGATGTGATTTAAGAAGAAATGAATTTAAGAGCAAGCCAATTATTGTGTTCACTTCCAAGCTGATATAAAAAGGTGGTGGTCAAGTATTCAGCAAGAGAAGCGTCTGGAAACAAAATATATTTGTAATTCCTTTCTCCTCTCCCCGTCTCCCTCCGAGGCCTATCTGAACTCTATTAATAAAAGCACACAATCATAGATTTCATTGCAATGGATTATAGGGGCCAAAATATGGAGATTCTTTTCAGAAAACAGCTAATGTGTGGTTCACTCATTTTATAGGTTTGCCCTCTATTTTTCCCCCATCCTATTTTCCTACTGTTATTTCACTGAGATTAAAGCGGCGTCCTTCTTACCCGCACATCATAGCCAATCCCGTGAGCCTTGCACATCTGGAGGAAAACATTGTAGTAAATGAAGGAGAGGCTGCCGTTCTTAATCGAGCTGCTCAGGAGAATGTGGCGGTTGACCAGGGACGCCTGGCAAAGGGGAAAAAAGGGAAAAGAGTGAATGCTGATGAATCCCTGGTGGGTTCCAGCTTCGAGGCAGTGCAGATTTATACCCCAGTAGCTTAATCTTAAGCCCCCTGGCCTGTTTCCTCCGCCTTCTTCAGAGAAGCCACTCTCAGCCTTTGCAGGGACTCAGTTGAACACAGATAAAGGGGGAGATTCGTGCTGTGACTTGAGACGGCTCCGCCCTAAAGCAAGAGAAGGCCGGCTGCCATTCACTTGTCCCTCTCCTGGTTGTCCCAGGTTGAATTGCAGGGAGTTGTCAGGGGGTGAGTTAACTGGGGTGAGTCGGCTGCAGAGAATTGTCCCAAACTCCTGCACCAGCCCCAAACTGCTGAGAACTCCTTTGAGAATGCAGCAGTTCTCATACGTTTTTCTTGTGTCTCATAAACACACCAACATGTTAAAATTGGTCTTAAGGTTTCAGTCATACATGTGCTTCCTCACCATGAGCACTTCTTCTTTCTCCTCCTCCTCTTTCCTTAAAAAATGGGCAGAGAGGGGTATTTTTCGGGCCCTAACAGTAACCCTGAGTGGGACAAGGGCAAATGTGGGCAGATTTTGTTATTTTTCTCTCCCAAGTATGGGAGGTTTTTAAAATAAATTCATAAATAACCCACTGTGGCAAGCCTATTTTGGCCTGCAGCACAATTTTTATTCCAATCAGAAAATGGCAGGAAATTCTTGTGCCAACCTTGAGAGTTTTACTGCTGATCCAGAGGGTACCCCAAGTGCCATGAGAAAGGCACCGGGGGGGGGGGCATTGGCTGCCCACCGTTCTCCATCGACTGGCTAACACAACGTCAAGGAGGTTAATAATAGAATGTTTGCAAAACTGTGCTAAGCAAAATTGCGTCTGGTTGTTAGCAGAAATCAGTGGGGGGGGGAGCTGAGGGGTTACAGCCATGCTAGCTGATGTCTGCCAAGTCATTTTGGTGGTAATCCAGTAAAGACCTGAATTTCAATGGGCACACGCAGGGTTCAAAATGTGCCCTATGTAGAAAGGCAGTTTGGGAGGCTCCTTGGAACGAATGTGTCTCGAGCAGCTTTTGTTGACATTCCTCATTTCCCCTCATCCCAAATCTCTCATTCTCAAGTGTTCTTTGAGGCATGAAACTGCTAGCCAGAGGGGCGACTGCTTCTCTTCCTTGCACATCATGCTCACACGTGCACTCTTACGAGACAGGCAAGCAGGCAAGGGGCTGTGGCCGGCTGCCTCTCCGAGGGCCCCCCCTTCTCTCTGGGACCAGCTGGCTGAAAGAGAGGCTTCCAAAACAGGCACCCAAAGTTTTGAGAAATGTGTTCCTGGCAAAAGACGGCGGCAAATAAAATAAATGAATGCTTGATAAAATAATCCAAATGGCAGTTTAACAAGCGTAAACCCGGACGTAGCAGCGATGACACCGAACTATTGTTTAAGCGGAGGCACGGGTCTGAGGAGGCGCTTATTTCAGCTACAAAGCAGACAAACACACGCATAATGAACTGCTGGATGAATTATTAATGTCTTGCTTATTTAGCCTCATCTGTCTCAAAGATAATGTATCCTAAGTATAATGAGTGATTGGTTTTCTACATAATTACAGTAGCGGCGGTATCTAGGAAATTTGCTCTGGCAAAGGAGATTTCTAAAAATAAAAACCATCACTCGTACTCGGTCACTGCTCCATTTTATCAAAATCAAAGCGAGCAGCCCGGTGAACACGTAATAAATTCGCGGGGACAGAAGCATTATTAACATCATAATTTCACATAAAGTGTTTTTACTTAATCATTCATTATAGATCATGCACTGTAAAACAATTTGTCTCTGTTTGTTTCTTTTGGTTTTTTAAAAGATCTGATGTGCTCGTCCCCAGTTTTACCCCAAATGCCTGGCTGAACGAGGAAGAGGAAGAAGAGGAAGCAGTGATGCACTGAGGGCAACTGGCAGGTCCAAAATGACAAAAATGAACAATAATCTGCAATTATTTTAATTTAAAGAATTGCTGCTTGGTTACTTTCCATTTCTAAGACCTGGACCCGAACCAAAACTCCTCTTACCCCACGTAGCAGCTTGAGAAGGTCATCAATCTTGACATTTCGGAACTTGGACATTTTGGAGAATGCACAAAATCTGGCTATAAGGCAACTTTCCCATACAGGGGCGCCCCACACCCATGCTAAAATGCCAGGTTTTTGAGACGTAAAATAAATCAGACCAAGATTTCCCCCCACCATCACCTTTAATATAACATATAAGCAATACAACTCAATTGAAAAACAAACTGAAATGTTTTAGGTGGGGGAAAATAACAATAAAAAAACTTACAATAACATTGTTGCATGAAGATGCACATATCAAATGTCCTGGAAATCAGGAGATCCAGGCAGTTCAAATGAGTATAAAGATTTATTGCAAGCTTAAGCTCTCTACAAGAATCTGAACTACTAACAGTCAAGGGAAATTCGTGGGAGTTAAGAACAGAAAGGAATCCCCTTGTGGGTGGGGTGTAAAGGGACTCATGACCGATGACGCCTTTGACCCCTCTCTGGGGCTCAGGCTGGTCATCTCCTACAGCTCACTCTTAAACTAATACTTTGTTGAAGGAACTTTTGATTTTTTGACAGCATCCAGTCTTGGGGTAGGAGCCTCTCAGCACGACACAACTTGCTTTGGGAATCTTTGCCCACTCTTCCTGGCACAAGTGCTCCAGATCTGCCGGATTGCCTCTCCTGTGGCACAGCCCTCTTCAGGTCATCCCGCAGATTTTCAAGTGGATTCAGGTCCGGACTCCGGCCGGGCCACTCCAAAACTTTGATCTTCTTCTGGTCAAGACATTATTTTGTGGATTTGGAGGTATAGTTTGTCGTCATGTTGAAAGGTGTGTACTGACTACTATTTAACGTCAGTTTGAATGTGAATGGTTAATTCTGAACACAGCCACATTCCTAATTATAAGAGGGTGTGAAGACTTATGCAGCCTTATTATTTTAATTTTTTATTTTTATTTCCCCCCTAAAATATTTCAGTTTGTTTTTCAATTGAATTGTACAGCTTGTATGTTATATTAAAAGTGGGAAAAATATCAAAGTGATTTATTTTGGTCTGAGTTTTTTACATTTCAAAAACCTGGCATTTTAACAGGTGTGTGTAGAGTTTGTATATCCACTGTATCTGGTAACCTACAAATATGTTGACTACAAATCCCAGAATTCCAAGGAAGATGGGTTTCCATTGATCATACATCTGGGAATTTTGAGAGCTGTACTCCAAAAATATGAAGCTTGGGGGGGAGTTGGTTACAATGACATATACAGTTTTTATTACAAATAATAAAGTTAATAAAATTAATTATTACAGTTACTCATCAGTGGCAAGACTTCTACAGGACCGGCCCAAGACAGTTTGCTACCTAAGCATAAAACCAGCAAAGGCCATCTCTTCTGCTAAGAACCAGAAGAAAGGATCCATCAAGAAATTATCTTCGGCCAGTTATGTTAAACCCAACACAAAACATCAGGCAGAGGGAAAGAACTGGTAATTTCCCAATGTAACTATAAGCACTTGATTAGTAAATTAAAATTTATTGTTCATAATGGGTGGGGAAATGATGGGGGCCACACTGGCCACATTGTCCCTAATGCAATGGGGTGATGATGCAGGAGGGGTCAGGGCAGCAGTGCATCAAACTATGGGGCACCAACACCGTTTAGGCCACAAACTGCTTATTTGTTGAGTCACTGGCCTATCTGCTTCTTCATTTGAAAGGAGCATCACTTACGGGTTGGGTCTGCTCCTTCTGCAGAGGCAGGTCAAGTGGTTTCTTTGGAGGAAGCTGCACCTGGAAGCGGCTGGAAGCACAGTTGAAGGTCCCCTCGGTTGCGTAGAGCGCGACCTGGGTCATAGCCAAGTGATCACTATAGTGCAGATCCAAGTCTATTGCCCAAACCTTGGGAGAGAAATAGATCCGTCAAGTACAACTTCTCTTTTAGGCTTAGAAATAAACCTCTTAGCATGAAGGTGAGATAGCCTTACTTTATATCTGGAGAGCACAAGAGGCACCAGCAGTGAACTTATTGTCTGAAAGGGCTCAGACATTTGTGAACCTGTCTTACGTTTTGTATCTGCCTACAATCTCAAATACAGAAATGCCTCCTCTTGGGTGAATGGAGTTTTTTTTTTTTAATACCTGAAATGTCAAAAAAGAACTCAATGGAAGCAACAAAATGGAGGTCACAGCAGGGTACCACCATTATAGGTAGTCCTCAACTTATGACCACAATAGAGCCCCAAATTTATGTTGCTAAGTGAGACAGATGTTAAGTGAGTTGTGCCCTTTTATGATCTTTCTTGCCACAGTTCTTAAGTGAATCCCTGCACTTGTTAAATTAGTAACACGTTTGTTATGTGAATATGGCTTCCCCATTGACTTTACTTGTTGCAAAAGGGGATCACATGACCCCAGGACACTGCGACCGTCATAAATATGCACCAGTTGCCAAGCGTCCAAATTTTGCTCACATGACCGTGGGGATGCTGCCATGGTCATATGTCACTGTAACTTCAAACGGTCACAAGACTATCTGCATTGTCCCCTGCAGGTACTTTGAGAGGTGGGTATTATCAGATGCACATTGCCCATAACTAAATATGATTTGTTGAGGGGGGGGTACAGGAAAGGTACATCGGTGCTTCGGAGGGCTGCAGTTTGGACGACACTAACCTTGTAGTAACGCGTAGCACTACCAAAGCTGAGCAGCTGTGAGATTCATGTCCCAGAAACACAAGCAAGATGAAGGTGAAGGTTCATTCTCCGAGCTTGTGGGATGGTTTCGGAGAACGCGTCTTCACCCTCATCCTACACCCAAGCTACAGATATTCACCACTATTTCAAACGCAAGCAAGAGCCCATGCAAGAGCTTGCTGGACCTGCAGAAGCTGTCTTCATCCATCCCCACAAGGCATCTATGGACATCTAACAAGCAACTTCTAGATATCTAGATATGATCTATGACCTATTATTTCCTGTTTATATGTACAGGGTGAGCTTATGCACCGGAGACAAATTCCTTGTGTGTTCAATCACACTTGACCAATAAAGAATTCTATGATTCTATGGCTGACATCTGCAAGTTTAAGATGGTTTGGGGGTGAATATCTGAAGTTAAACTTGATAGAACATTATCAGTGTGCTCAAAGAGGTAAGCACTAGTGTTGTAAACCAACAACAGTGCAAATGCTCAAGAAGGTTCCTATTTATGACTGCATCCATGGCCACCTTCATATTTTTTAATGTAACCATGACAAGCTGTACATCAAGTGACTGCAGCAAGTCATCTTCAGTTTCAGTTGTTCTATCTAAAACATATTTATAGTCACATATTTGAAAGCTAGCTCATCCCAGAGAGAGTTTAGGAAACAAGCCATATATCAATTCTACAATTCAATAGGATTAGAAGCGGGCATAAACTAGACCAGGATTTTCAGGGGAACCACTCGATGCTCTGCAATAAATCACCACTTGTCTCAATTGAAACAAAATGACTCCCCTGCCCTATTCTAGGAGGCTTGCTAAAAAGAAGAAGAAGAGAAAGCTTGGAAAGTTAACTTTTTGTATTAAAGAAATATGAGGTTGTACACCTAAAGATGCCTGGGCTGCATCTGCAGGGAACCTGTTCATCAGCCTTGCTGATTGGGGAATTCTGGGAGTTGAAGTCGACACATCTTCAAGTTGCCAAAGTTGAGAGACACTGTTTTAAGGGAACATCCTCCCATCCTTTCCAAAGATCTCTCCACAGCCTGGAAATGCAGACGTTTTGGTCAGGACAAAGATGGACCAGTTCCTAGGTTTCTAGACAAAAGTGCTCCAAAGAAATGGCAACTGAAACAACAGAGGAAATGTTCTTAAACAGTGCCTGGGATTTAGAACATGCCTGAATATTGCAGACCATATAAGAAAATGTACAAATGCAGTGGTAGTGTTGGTATGGTTCCTCTATCCATGGCAATTTACTCATTGTTTATATAAGTAACTCTGTTTTCTGGCCTTACAGGACACTGAATCATAAATTAAGCACCCTGCCTGTGTTTTCATGACCCCCAAGCTAACAAGTAGGTGGCCGTGGCTTGGGATGCCACTGAACAGAGACAGAGAGGATTAAAACTTGCTTCAAGGCAAGGCAGTCAAAGTTGCCAGCATTTGGAAATCGAGATGAAATTCAATAGGGAAACTGGAGGGGGAGGGAGGAGGAGGAGGAGGATTGGTCAACCCATTAAAAACAAAACAAAATCAGCTCATCAGTTCCATCTCCCCCCCAACCACCATCAGAACTGATGGAGCTTCTTGGATGAGAAGTGAAATATTTTCTTCTTCCTCAGGGAAAAAACAGTCCAGTTTTGCCTTTCAAAGAAAAAAGCACCTTTGAGTAGTTATGGGACAGCAGCCTTTTCACTTCTGGAGAACTGAGCTTTGGCCGTGCACCTGGGCACAGGTTGATCACGCCCAGGAGTGTCTCCTGTGAATATCGGTCCTTTAGAAGCAACTCTCCCACAGAAGGACTTGGACAAGCCACTGAATGGTAAATGGCATCATTATAAGGCTATTAAGGGATCAGACAGTCAAGGCCTCTTGCTAAACTGGAGCTAATTTCTGAATCATATTACAAAATAATGCCCCTTTTTGTAACAGCAAATAAATCACGTCAGAAACAGTTAATAATGAACCATCAAGTACCAGTTTTACTGTTAAATTTCCTATTTGTCAACTTAAATATTTCCCATTGCATAAGGGAAAAAAAGAGCCTTGGTCTTCTTTTGTAGGAGCCCTTGAAATATTGGAAGACTGCCATCATGTCACCCCAGTCCTTCTTTTCGTTAAACCAGACATACCAATTCCTGCAATTGTTCTTCATATATTTTATCCTTCAGTTGCTCTTCTCTGCACTTTTTATTTTTATTCTGAAAAAGAGAACTTTCCCCTCTTCAAATTTCTGAAACCTCATGTTCATCCAGTCCTATCCATTCTCTGGCAGCGATCAAGTCTTCATGAAATATTAGTGCAGAGCGCATTCTTTGGAAAAAACCTGTTCTTTCTTGAGAGAGGCGACGTTTTTTGCTTGTGGTCTTCTTCCAATCATCAAAAGTCCAGGAGTTTAACTCTCATGTCTCAGCAGCTTCCGAGTTTTCCTGAAATGTTAGTGATCGCATTCTAGGCTCTCCTGGGATCTTGAATGAGATGTTGAAATCTTGGCAGACTTTCTGTATGTTTGAAAGTTAGTGGGTTTTTTTAACATTTTCTACAATTGCATTACATTTCATGGACCTGGGTGTCCCTGGGCCTGGTGCTGCCAACTTCCAAGGCTTTCAGCCCCATCTGTCCAGGCTGCTGCTTGTACAACACAGAGAATTTAAATGTCCAACGCTGGTCACAGCAGCCTTACCATGACTGTTTTTACCAAACACCAAGTAGGACAGAGCAGCTTCTATTCTCTGGTGAGAAGGAATAATCCAGCTGTTGACACCTGGTGGAAAAACAAAGTTACAGCCCAGCAGCTGGGACCCCAGTTGTGAAAGACAGAAGCTCCTGACTCCCATTTGCAGGCATAAAAGGAAGCTCTTGTAAGAGCTTTTGAGCCCCAGAGCCCCAAGCAAGGCTCTCGAACCAGAGTGTATCCCTGTCTTATGCCCACTGGGACCTTTGTAAAATCAAACCCCTATCAATAAATAAATCCATTGTGGGCTCATAAACCCAAACTCATTTCCACTTCTTTGGAGGGTTCAAAATTAGGGGAGCATGCGACGTAAAGGGAGGAGCCCCTCTCAGCCTCTTGGTTAATGGAGATGTTTTTTGCCACGGGGGAAGGAATATCCAGTTTTGCTGGATATTTTACCCACAGTGTGAATTGATCTCAGTGTGCCTTAAGCAGGGAGCATGTTGGCTGGAATCGTATTTCTCTCCCACCACTGAAGAGCCATAACTCTTCTTCTTAAGTCTCTGTGCTGGCATCCATCACCACCTGAATCAGCTGCAGGCCCTAAGCCTACATTTGAAGTTCTTCCTCCCTCCCTCCCTCCTTCCGCCCCAATTTTCTCTCTCACCATCTCACCCTCCGTTTTCCTTCCTTCCCATGCCAAAGGCCCGTCAACTCCCCACACCCACCTTAAACACCTTCTCCATGCCTGTTGTCAGCCCTCATCCATACTCTTTATGCCCTTAACATCTTCTGAGATTTCCCCCCACTTCTTAGTGGAGCTGACAACCTCTGATCGTTTCCCCAAGTATTAACCAGAGATAAACCTGCTCAGCATTTTAGATCAGCCTAGGTCAGGAGTAAGGGATCCAAGGATGCAATTCTTGTATCACCAGTAGCCAATAAATCCTGCTGTCTCCATCCACCACTTGAGCTGTGTAGGTCAGGAAATCCCAGCCAGTGCGGTTCAGAAAGCCCCAATGGTGCGATTCTTCCATATCGCTCCAAAGCAATCCGGGCGGATTCCCACTTGATGGCGATGGAATGCAAAACATGCATACAGATCTCACTATTATAGTTGGTTGCCCAGGCAGCCGGATGTTTAGACTGGATTTGGCATTCTTATCCACCTATTTGGTCCTCCCAAAGACCTGGGATGGGGAAATGTTGTTTCTTAATGGTGTTAAAGGCTGAAAAGTTGCAGGATAAAAGCTGTTCCAGGCATAGCTGCTTTATACTATTGACGTTAAAAATAATCCAAGCAGGCCAAATATGTCACCCAGAAGTTCTCTTTACAGCTGAATTTTTCACAGCTGGTATCTGTCAAGGTCAAAAAAAAATTTTCTGGAGTCTGGGCTTCAAGCCAAGTCTCTTTTAGGTAATAACAAGTTGTAATACCATATTTCGCTACAAGATGTCACTGATGCCGTTTAAAGCTTTTTAAGTCCAAAGATTTTATGATAGTTTTTCAAATTTTATT